TTTTGAATCCAAACATTTTGACTAGTTTTGAATTTTTTTCCCCTGCTGAAATAATTTTGCAAATTCAAGGTGAATTCACACAATGTTTCAGTCGACCCAAATATGCATTTTTCAGATAAAAAACATTTGGTTAGTCTGAAAACTTTCCGGCAGCGCTAGTCCTGGGTTCTATCCCCAGCAATATACGGGGGGAGGAGGATTAGCACGTGGAGAATCACAGAATCCGGAGTTCCCGGCAAACAAAGCTACAGCATGGGCTATTGTGTCAGCCAGGCTGATCCCCAGCATTCAGACATGCTCATAGTTTTCACTGCATAAAGGAAAACACTGTATCAATGACCAAGAGTTGAACCTGAGCCGCAGAGTTTGTATCCGAATGTCCCCAGTGTTCGGGGCCAGTCTGTACATCGAAGGGGACGTCAGTCTGAAGGGGTGTGTGTGTTCTTTTAACTAGACCAGCGAGGAAGTGGCTGCTTTGTTAATGGGAGTGAAAATTCCCCACCGACCTGACCGGAATTCCACCTACAGGCCACGGCCTGGCAGCAAAGTGCCTGACTCCATGGACTGGAGGGACAAAGGATGTGTTACGGATGTGAAATATCAGGTGGGAGGCTCAATATGTTCCCCTCCTGACATGGGTGCCCATCGCAGCAGTGGCTGAGCGCATCTCTCTGGCTTTTTCAGGGGTTCTGTAGCTCCTGCTGGGCTTTCAGTGCTGTCGGTGCCCTAGAAGCCCAGGTGAAACTGAAAACTGGAAACCTGGTGTCTCTCAGCGCACAGAACCTAATCGACTGTTCCACTAAGTACGGGAACCAGGGCTGCCTGGACGGATATATGACCAACGCCTTCCGGTACATCATCGATAACGGCATTGATTCAGATGATTCCTATCTATACACAGCTCAGGTGGGTATCCAAGTTTCAGACAGACACATGGAGGGTCTGTCTACACTGCACACTAAGCCCGGATTCTGACTCAGGTTTGAGCCAAGGCTTCCCTTCCATCCACACACAAATCAGCCTGACTCAGGTCAGCAAGTGCTCAGGGCCCAGGTCCTACGACACCGCTAGAGGGGTGGGTCAGAGTCCGAGTCCTGCTGACTTGGGTCCAAACCATGTCCTTTTGCAGTGTGGACGCAGCTCAAGCCACAGACCGCAGTCAGAAAGTCTGCATGGTGCAGTTAGCATGGCTGTGAGACCTGGATCCAGCAACTGTAAACCCAGGTTTACAATGCAGTGTGGATGCTCAAGCCTGGGCTTGGAAACACTGGGTATGTCTACACTGCAATGTAAGCGCAGGGTTTGAACTCAGCCTCAAGCCTTACCCCCCTTCCATCTACACAGGAATGGAGATAATCAAGGGCTCGGACCCAGGAAGTTCCAAGCCTGAGTCAAGCTGGGACTCAGGGTTCAAGCCCTGTTGCTTTGCAGCATAGATGCAGCCCCACTGGATTCTTGCTCTGGGTGTCCACCCAAAGTATCTCACAATCCCACAGGCCCACATTTTTTGTCCTCTGGACAGTCAAGTTTGGGTGGACAGTCAAGATTTCCTGTGGTGCACTGTGAACAAAGGGCTGGAGCGGCCACATTTTGTGAGGGTGCTAGGAAGTGTGGGATACGGTGCTTGGACTCTGCCCTGCATAACGCAGTGTAGATGCTGGAGACCCAGGTTGGGACCCAGGGTTCGACATTCCTAACCTGGGGTTACAAATGAGTGTAGACGCTCAAGCAGTAGGTTACCGAACCCAGGATCTGCTAACTCTAGTTCTACTAACTCTGGGCTTGCATTGCAGAGGGTTTGAGACCCTGCCCCTGCTAGGTCCCAGTGCCCAGGCTCCAGCCTGAGCCCAAAGGTCTATACTGCCATTGTATAGCCCTGTACCTGAGCCCCAAGGGCCTGAGTTAGGCATCACAGGCCAGCTGCGGGTATTTTATTGCAGTGTAGACATATCTTTTTGTGGCCTGTTTTACTGGGTCTTTCTTTGACGTTTGTATCAACACAAAGACCAGGAGAAGGGATCTTCAAGGCAGTGTTCTCTAGTGGTTAGAGCAGGGGGCCTGGGAGTCAGGTCCCCTGGGTTCTAATCCCAGCTCTGGCGAAGAATGGTGTCTAGCGGTTAGCGCAGTGGAACTTGGAGTCAGGACTCCTGGGTTGTAATCTGAGTTCTGTGTGTTCCTCACTCTGCTACTCTGTGAAACCTAGATAATGACACTTCGCTCCATCTCAGCGGGGGAGGTGGAGGCTTTTAATTAATTAATGTTTTTATAAGTCTCGTAGATCCGCAGATGAAAGATGCTACACAAGTGCTGCAAATTTTTATTGCTGTCATAGATTGAGTCCTCACATTTCTTCTTACCGGA